TAAGGAAGGAAAGAAAGGAGAAAAGTACAAAACGAGTGCAATGACAGGTCTAACTTTAGAGCAGTTAAAGGCAAAAACAGGAAACAAACATGTAACGGCGCCCTTAAAATACAAACTACATGTTTATAGCTTTTACCGAAGCTTCTGTTTGTTTACGCACCACAAAGTATCGTGAATAAAACAGCGCAGCGCTCTGGATTAGTGCCTTAAGGACACAGCAAAATGAGTTTGATTCGTCTCAGTTTTGGTTTGACAAAACAGTTATCTTGAATCACAGTGGGTGAGTGAGCACAAACAAAATCCCTTCGAAAGATATTATCAGTGTGATGTGGGGGGAAAAAATTAAAAAATCTAATCTCCAAAAAGGATAACAAATCAAAGATAATAAAATTCAGACCAAAAAATATGTATTAGGCTTAGTGGTAAATTGAAAAAGTAAAGTTTGGAATTCAATTTTTCATGAGGCAGCCCACCGATTTTACAAGTCAGGTCCGTAGCTAATAGGGATGTGCCAAGTCCGACTCACCGGATGAAGACTACGGGTATTATCCTGACATTCCTATGACCTATTTCATGTGGCTTTCTCCTCACCTGTTGCAGTCTGTGTGTTACTATTTTCAAAATCCCTTAGTGACAGGGAACAGCAAGCTCCAAGTAGCAGCCAACATGCTGAAAATGGCAAGTTTTTGCTTTGGATTAATAACCTTTTTCAACGACAACGCTAACCTCCCTGCGTGCAAATGCTCCAAAAAAATTATTCCCCATCACTATTTTGCAGGAAAACCGTCGCTGCATCCTGGGTCTCGCTTCGCCCATTTTGATTGGTTTAAAGAAATGCAAACAAGCCAGAGCAGTTTTTGCCTTGTAGGGCGAGTGCAGACAGACCATTCTCCAGCATCAGCCTCTGAAGATGGGTTTGGCTATGTAAGACTAGCATGTGCAAATCAAGTTGCCTATAGGCCACGATTCAACTTTGAAATGAATGGGTATTTGCTGGTATCAAGTCCGATTCGATACTTGTTTACTCAAAGCAGATGTTAACTAAATATGAATCATGTGTGTCATATGCAGTATGTACAACTTAATATGACACACCTGCATTTCCACAAACTACTCAATCTAAATCCTGAAGGTCCCTTTTCAAAACTTTTTCTATACCAAGCATGAGGACGTACCACATTGTCCACTCACTTCTTTGCTTCTTTAACTCACAGAAATTCTAGTTTTTGTCACGTTACCCTGCGAGAGTGACGTTAAACTCTACCAAAAAAACACGAGAAACTGCAACTGGATGTTTTATGAATGCTAAGAGTTTAGCAACGTCGTATAAACAGTTTCTTACATGCATATGCAGTGAGATTCTCGCTGTGTTGAGCCTGACTGTTGTAATGCAAAGCAGGGCTGCAAATTAAACATGCTGACGTTGGTAAAACTCAGTACAGTTTGTAAAGAAAGTAAAAAAAAATATGAGTGGAATTTGATCGGCTTTTTTTTTAGCTGATACCAACCGGATTGATTTGAGAAACCCAGTAGCCACAACTCCAAAGTCACATCCTCTGTATTTATTCAGGGAACGTGGCATAAAGAGGAATGTGAATGTTATGACTGCATGACACAATCATTTTAAAGCAATAAGCAGCGTGATGCATAGTTTAGCTCTAATGTGAACACTTTCTGCTTTCCTTTGTTATAAATCATCACCAACTGAATAACTTTTGGCCGAACAAAAAAAAAAAAGGTGAGCTCAGGACGTCACCGCTCTGGAAGTTTGCGATTGCATGTTTATTTATCATTTTTTGACATTTAATAGACCAGGAGAATAATCCATTAATCAAACAAATAATGATCTGCGGATTAATTTGTCATAAAAAATTATCTTTTGATACAGTCCCGCTGACATTTCTATGCTTCCTCTCCACCGGTTCAGCATGCTCAATGCTTCTGGGGTGTACAATAAAACCAGAGAATTATGGATTTATGGCTCACCAAAACAATTAGGTACCTGCGTGGAAAGCTTTTGGGCCAACACTTAGACAATAATGTTGGAAAATAAGGTTTAGATTGATCAGCAGTTGTATAATCATGTTGAAGAACTGTCATCTATCTGTTGATGGATCTCAGCTCAGGCTTGAAGAACACAAACTTTACGCGCTACAAACTCAGAGCATACAGTTTTTTTTTGTTTTTTTGCCATTATTAGATAGGACAGTTGAAAGAGAGACAGGAAAGTGAGGGAGGAGAATGGGGGAGGGGGTTGCAGCAAAGGGTCCTGAGCAGGATTCAAACCCATGGCCGCTGCATTGGAGACTATAGCCCCTGTACATGGGTCGCCAGCTCAACCAGGTGAGCTATAGCGGCAGCCCGGGGCATACAGTTTGACACGTCAGTGTTCTAGTGGCAAGGAGGTTTGGTATACATTGCGCTTTCTATTGCATTTTGACCACTCCTTTTTACAATTTTGCCCTGCAAGCTTCATGAATGTGCAACACTAAATAAGTGGACTGCATCGTCTACAAAAATAGTGACCAAAACTGAAGTAAAAAAAAGCCCGAATAGTGGTACGGTTTGTGCTAAAGGGATTTACTTTTGTGACCGACTGGGCAAGCGGCCTGCCTCTGGAACAGAAATTCAATCCTTAGGCAGGAAGACTGGCGTTAAAACACCTGTACTGTATCAGTAAACATCTGCCAGTCTCAAGTGTCCTTCGGCAAGACGCTGAATCTCTGCCAGCTCCAGGAGCGCTGTTCTGCAGCTGACCCTGACCTCCCTGAGGAAGGAGCGGTGGGTGAGGCTTCCCTGCAGGGATCAATACGGAATCAAGCATTGCGACTATTACGTTTCGGATATGCGGCGGATCAAGGGTCCGGGAGGTTAACATAAGCAGGAGGGGGAACGCTTGTAAAAGGTTGAAACTGCCACTCAGTGAACTCACAGTAAGAGGAAAACATACAGAATCCCTCCTACACCCGACAGCATTATGCTGAGCAGGTGGGGAGCGGAGCACAGAAATGTCAATGTGCGGCAAATCAATAAACTCATTCAAAGTGAAAAGTTAGTTCCCTGTTTGTGACAATGAGGCCAGATTTCCCTTGTCTGTCCTCGTCTTTGCCTCCTACCCTAACTACCTTTCCTCTCTGCTGCCCTCCCTCTTTGCTTCCCATTCATCCTCTTCCTTTTCTCCGACCATTCTTTTCTATATTTCCCACTCTGCCCCTCTTCTTTTTCTTCTCTGTGTTTGGGTAATGAAAAAAAAAGAAAAAAACAGAATCAATGGGCCGCCGCTTTGTGTCAGCAGAGGTGTTGAATGGAAATCAATCCGCTATCTAAAGACAAGAGGGCTGCAAAATAACACAGAGGCACACAAATGACTTCATATTGGGAAAAAAAAAAGAAGAAGAAGAAGAGAGGATTAATAGAAAGCAAGACAGAAAGTAAGAAAGAGTGATGTGGCGGAGAAAGGAACGATCAGGGTGGGCGGTGAAAGGCTGCCTGTTTTTCTGCCCGTCATAGTCTCCAATTTATTATTCCTAAGACTCAGGCTGAAAAGTGCAATTGCATAAATGTACAAATCCTTTGTGGGGAGCGAGAGCAACAGTGAAAGAGATAGAGAGGGGAAAAAAAAACAGCTATCTTAATGTAAAAGGCTATGATGTTATCTTTACAAGACAGACAGCTTTACATCCCCCTGGCGCCGTCGCTCCGCTTCCCTGAATGAGGTTAAGTGCTGATGAATTATGAACAGAGATTAGGAATAATATGCATGGCAGATCATACCAGCAGATTCACCAGTAAATGATCTCTGCTTGTTAATTATATTTTTCTGCAGTCGGAGGGCCACGGAAACTGTAAAAATGAAGAATCGCAAATTCGTATCTTGTAGCAAAAGATCAGTCTCGAGAGTAGACTTTCCTAAGAGCGCCGTCGTCGACGCGATCCAGATGGTCAATCCCTCCACTTCCTGATGATGATGCGTACTGATGAAGTATGTATGGGGATTAGCAGTGATATGAAAGGCAGATAATGCTGGCAGATTTCCCTATAGAAGCTCCAGTTGTTTGTTAATTCCCTCCCCCCCATGCATTTCACTGGAGCAAATATTTAGCTCAAATAACAATCATTCCTCTGCGAGATCGATCTAATCTGTGTAATCCTGAGCAAACGGCAGAAGTCAAGAAAGGCTAGCGGAGCTCTCCCCGTCAAGGCCGTCCCGGTTTAGTCGGCAGGCTGGACTGTGGCGCGCCGGTTTGCCAGGGTGTAAAGTGAGGATCATGAACTTTCTCATGTCTCTTTGCTTTCCATTTCTGTTTCATCTCCTTGTTGGTCTAACTTGCCCCGAGGTGAACCTGCCTGTCTGAGCTGTAATGCAATAAACACTGATAGATTGTCGGTACTGTGCTGTTCCACATTACCATAAATTCTGTTTTTGACAAGGAAGCTTCGTGGATGAGATTTTACTCACTCTGAATAAATCACATTTTTATTAGTAAGTAGCCTTTTATATCGTTTTAGTTTCCATTGCTTGTGTCTTGGCATGGCTACCTTCTATGTGCTGCATATACAGTACACTTGCACTTAATTTCCATATTCATACCCTCATACTGCTCATGTAGCACCCTTGTACTGACCTTTTACTGCCTGTGTAGCGCCTTCACATTGCTCTAACACTGACCTTGAGGGGCCCATGTAGCCTCCTCGTTGCACCACCCTTGTAGCATGCTTGTCGTGGCCTTGTAATAACCTTGTTCCGCCCTCGTCTCCTTACATTATCACTTCTATTCAATTTTTTTGTTTTGTTCTGTTCTATTTCCTGTGCTCCCATTTTCCAACATCATTAAAGTCATTAAAGTTGCATTTAATCTAATGTAATCTAATCTATACAACTCAGACTTAGGTAATTCTCTACCTCCGCATTGGCCACGTCATTGCTCAGTTTCCACTGTGGAAACCGTCTGACTCCGTCGCCATGAACGTCACCGCGACACCGTTGCTGTCAATCTTACCTGTAAACCAGCGAGTCGTCCTGGCTTCCGTTGTACTGTATCTGGAACATCCTGATGCCTGGTATATTCCTCTGGAAGTTAAACTTGATCAGCGCCGTGGACGACGTGGCCTCCGCCGTCACCACCCTCTTGTCCACCCCGCCCTTCACGTCGCCGGTCACGTTGCTCCCGTTGGCACCGCCTCGGGTCGACGTGGAAATGTCCGACGATCCCGGGTCGGGCTCCTGGATGTTGTTGGTGTTGTTGGAGATGTGGGGGAGTTTTATGATGACCAGGTCTACCGTCTGGTGGGCTTCACCAGCGGGGTTGGACGAGATGCAGGTGAAGGAGCCCGTGTCTTTCACGGTACTGATGAGGATGTCCAGAGTACCGTTGGTGTAGACCAACGTTCTGGAGGAATTAGACACCAGTTTGCCCTCAGGAGAGATCCAGTGGATGGCTGGCTCTGGGTCCCCTCTTGCCTTACACCTTTAAGGAGAGAAAGCAGTGGAGTGGAACTTATTAGAAACAAGACAGAATGGGGTCAGGTGTACAGTAAAAGAGGAGCGCTGCTTGATGGTGGTTCCTGGAATCCCTCCACCTTCCCTCTGGGACTCGAGCGGAAATAAAAGGAGTCTGAAGATTATGTACTATGTCGACAGAGCACATTAATTTGAGTAAAAACAAGGTGAACTTTTTGTGTTTGTACAGGATGAGCACCAAAAATTGAACAAGTAGAAGCTATGTATAGAGGTATCTGTAGATTCTTTCTTGGATTATTGTCCTTATCAATTTATAAAACTTCACTTTTCAGAAAAACAGCAAAATGCCTATCAAGTTCCTGGAATCCATGGTGACATTTCAAAATGCCTTGTGCTTGCCTGACAGCCCCAAAAGCAGGTACAACAAGCCGAGGAACTACATGTATAGTTTAGTCAGGCAGAGACACAAATAAAGGACCGGAAACAGTGACAAACAAGCAGTGACAGATTTTAAAGTCGTACGATAACTGAGACGAGGATTATGCAAAAATGAGTCATGCAAATTAAATATTGAGGGACTGAAAAAAAAGAAGCAGTCATACTAGGATTTCTTACAATGGGCTTTTGTCTAGGTGCATGGCTGAATAGACATTACTTTTAAGACATTAAAATTATAAGCAATTAAAAATAAGGAGCACATAAGTCAGGGTCACTGTGACCCAGCTCTTTGTCTGTAATTAAAATTACTGTGAAGTGCTATAAAAAATAATGGAATAAGTGCTAAGGAGAAGTAAAATAAATTTTCATGGGACTCTGAGTCATGTGTTCTCCACCCATGGGTGATAATGTCTGTCGTGAACTAAAGTGATTTCTAATTTACATAAAGTGTAGTTTCTTCTGGAAGTGAAATGGAACAAATGATAGCAACACAAAGACATAAATTACAGTGGTGTTACTTAGTACCCAATTATGTGCTAATATTATGGTATGGTAAATTCAAGGCCGGGTAAAAAATGAATTAGCAACACCTAATTACGTAACCCCCGACACTTTCCTGGCTTTTTTGCAATTTCATGGATTCAACCCCTTTCGACCCCCTTGATAATCTCCACTTATATCTTATATATGGAGCTGAAGACAGGGGACAATAACGGAAAGAGAATAATAGCGTCTCATTGATTTCCTTTTCCCCCTTTTTCTCATTTCATCATATTTCCATATTTGGAGACATAACATCTATCATGATTGGAAGTGTGTGACCAATATATATGCAAATAAAGTAATCATCATCCCTCAGACCTGTTGTTGTCTCGATGTAGTTTTGTCTGTCCTGCTAAATTTTTTTGTGTAATGTCCCTGTCTGAAGCATCACTGAGCAGTGAGGTTTTTCTCGAGTGTTTGTGTGTGAGCCAAATGAGATAGAGTGGCTTTAGGATAATGCCAAGCATGCTCTATAATAAGAACGTGACTCTAATATTTATTGATTTTATGCCATCGCACTATTTTATCACTGACAAGAGCTGATACCTGAGCGCAACTCTCTGCCCTTCCAGGACCCTCATCTCGTGGGAGTATCTGGTGATGAGCGGAGGCTCACAGAGGAACTCCTCTTCGGGGATGGACCAGAAGTACCGGCCGGAGAGGTGCTGGGGTGTGGCGCACGTCTCCAAGTCGTCCTCTCTGTTCAGCCGCCGCAGCCAAAGTAACTCACAGTTACAGTGGAGAGGGTTCCCACCGAATGACAGCGCAAAGGAAGAGGAGGTCATGACCCCTGACGTGGCTAAAACCTGGGAATGTGACAAAGGGATTGTATTTATAATGAAAAATTAGCCAAGTGTTTTTTTGTTGTTGCTGGTTTTTGCAGTCGATTCTAGATATTCACTAGATTGTTGAAGCAACGAGTCGTGAAATAGGCAGTTTCGTGGTTACTTTTCCATTCTACCATAAGCAATTAATCAGGGGACGTGAAGCTGCTTTCTAGACTTGATTGTATAAATCACCAAACAAGCAAGCATAAAATATGATTCAAAATGTGGTTGAAATATGCAGAAATCTGAGACATTTCAAATGTGCATTAACCATGTTTCTGTGAGTTTATTGTGAGATATGAAAGTTGCTTTTGTTCACATTTATTTCAACAGTATGCAAGCACAGCGTTACTTTAATTAATGCCATTTAAATTACCTGAATAGTCTTAGCTTTTCTGTAATATGATTTGCTTTTTTAAAATACATGCCGATTCTATTAACACATTTCAAAATCATCACCGTAAACTTAAATAAGTATACTGGCATCACAGGCATTTGATATTGAAGATGGTGTTCCTCAAGGAAGCATTCTAGGTCCTATTCTCTTTTTGATGTAGATTATAGCATTATTTGCCATAATGGCAAAACATCACTGCTATGCAGACGACACACAACTTTATATCTCTGCTTCTCCAGACAGATGCTGTAATTTGACTGAAGTCAGTTTTTGCTGGTGTGTCCAAACAAATCAAGACAACGGCAACTCTCTTTTAACTAGCCGTTCTTAAAAGTATCGATTATTATAATGATGATTTTTACATATATAACAACTATTTTGTTTAAATTCAGCTAATTTGCACACTGCCAAACTAAACTATATGAAAATGGCTAGCTGCTGTGTTACTGGCTTTTCTTGGGGTGTAAACTTGATTAGAATACCTGCGCTCGTTGAAAGAGTGGGTCCGGTGGCAGCTTTTGGAGTTTATTAGAGGTGACATCCAGCCGGTTGAGCTTCTGTAGAAGGGAGAAGGTACCCTCTGGAATGAAGTCCAACATGTTGTGGTCTAAACTCAGCGTGTGAAGGCTTGTCATTCTCTGCATTCATAACGAAGAAAAACAGACCTTTGTTATAATTATTATTTGAAAGAAGAAAGGTGCTGCCGTTAAGGAGAAAAGAGATGTGGAGAAATGACATTACAAATGAGGTCAAATATAGTACATGTTAATCAAAGTCATTATAACTACTTTTCATACATTTTAGGAAGCAGAACTATGTAGACTCTGACTTCTGTGATGAGTCAAATTAGGCATTTTGAAGACAAAGAGCACCGGTATGACAAGAGAACTGTTACCACTGAAAATGTTTAATAGGCTTATTAAACAGGCCACATAATGGCCTCTGTTCAATCTCAAAGCTTCTAAGATCTTTATTTGAATTTCTAAAAATCACCTAAAAGGTTTTATGACCTTCCTACCGAGCTTGGGATTGTGTTTTTATGGCTTTTAGCCAAAGCGGCTTGCAAACGGTGCTGCAGTTTAAAGAGATCCTGACCTGAATGGCCTCCCATGGAATAGAGTCCAGGTTATTGTAACTGAGGTCCAATTCTTCCAACGCCAGCAGGTCATTGAACGCTCCCTGGTGGATGAGGACCAGCTGGTTGTTGTTCAGAATCAGGTGGTGAAGCTTCGACATCCCGCTGAACGTATCGTTGCCTATCCTCGTCAGCCGGTTGCTGTGAGAGATGGAATAACAAAACAATGTGACAGCATCTAAAACAGATTAAATAGATTGTATACTGTACCTACATGCTATCAGTTCATACCTGTTGAGGTGTAGGGCTCTGAGGTTTTCCAGATCAGCAAAGGCATGAGGTGTGATGTAGGAGATGGTGTTTCTGGATAATGTTAGATCCACCAGCCGTGTCATGTTTGCAAAATCTTTCCTTTTTACACTGTGGACACACATAAATACAACGAAATGAGACATAAAGTCATGACAGGTAACATTCTCTCTAATATTAGAGCTCCTCTGTTATAAGCACATTTCAAGCGGCACTGCAGAGTTCTATCAGAGTCAAGCTACAGATAAAAAAAGAGTATTTCTATTAAGGGTAATGTTGCATGTTTGTCAGTCTTTTAATAGAGTTCAAATGCGGTGTACACTTGAAAGGGGAAACGGGGAAAACTTGCTCAATATTTAAAGGTAAAGCTCCGTCTAAAACAGAATTCACATATGGTATTCCTTTTATGCTCTGCAGCTCATTCAATATTTGTGAGCGAGAACAACTCTTTCCAAAGGCTGCAAACCAGAGAACTGAGGCTCTAAACTGCAACGCCATCAGGAGACAGCCTTGAGCTGCTCCGCTGACGATGAACCGACTATGACTGACTCTGGGGCCTCGAAGAATGTGCCTTTTTTTTTTTTTTTAACACCCAAATGAGTTTTATTTCATTCCAGTGCCAGCGGATAATGTGCTTGTATCCCCATAAAAATCACCCTTGGTGATGACGCTCTGTCCAAAAATTCTGCCACTTATTCATCGTCGCCGGAGGAGCTCCAGAATTTGTCGCTCGATGACATCATAGATCAGTGTCTCAGCTTCCAGTTTTTGAGGAAACATTGTTCATCCTCACACATTAAGACTGAACAGAAGCTCTGGTATATTTATTTGAACAGATCCAGACTCTGAACAAAAGGTGACCGAGCCTGTTCAGTGGCAGCCTCCAAACCATGGAACAGCCTACTGCTGGACATTAGGATTGCTCAGACTGCTGAGTCTGGGCTATAGACCCACCTCTACACCTCGGGCGCTGACATCCTGGATGCATATATATATATATATATATATGCGTGATTTTCACTGTATGTTCATATATGTTCTTTTTAGTGTTGATTTTAAGTCTGTAAAGCACTTTGGTCAACCCTGGTTGTTTTTAAATGTGCTATAGAAATAAAATTGACCTTGAACAGAGTGCTACCTGAGATATATTGGTAGATACAGTATATTCAGTCACTGAAGTAGTAATGTGGGCTGCAAGGTGGAGCGGTGGTTAGCACCATTGCCTCGCAGCAAGAAGGTCGCTGGTTCAGTAGTAATGCCAAGTTTTTATGTTCCTGTCGAAGATAGTAGGGCATGTTTCTTTTAATTTTTTGGGAATTAGTCACACAAAGTCAGAGTTTAATAACAGCATTTTGAGAAAACATTCAGCATTCACCGTTTTGTGGATGTGCACAAGAAAAGGTAACAAACACTATTCCAGACAGTCGCAGTCACCATATCCTGGATCTTACGGTACAGTATGATGCACTTACAGAATGATGCTGATACTTTTGTCTGAACTCTACTTTTACTACTTAGTCAGAAACTAGCTTTGGTGGTTCTTCTATAATTTTGTTAAAGCTTGTCTATACAACTAAATACAGCTACAGTATGTGTATGGTATGGTGCAGGATGTCATTTGTATTCACTCGCAATGGTTTACGTTCTCTCACAAGGAGTTTTGCATTTCGTCTGATCCATATAAACAGTTCAGTTAAGTGCTGTTATAATACATTATCACTTAAGAGAAACTCTTTGCAGATACGACTGAAAGGAGAGGTGATGCTACACTTTATAGAATTATTTCTCATTATCCATTTTAAAAGGCCGATCTCTGACAGTATCCAGCTGCTGGTTGTGAGTGCAGCGGCTCTGCCTGTCGTGATGGTGAAGCTACAACTGGATATGTGGGTGTTGTTTGGACCTCAGACATAACTGGTACAACGGCCACAGCCACTGTGAAGGATACGTCATCTGAAGGCTGCAGTCGTACAGTGTGTCTGGGCAGCGGTCAGTGAGAGCACTGCAGAGCCTGCTTCTCTAATGGGCTTTCTTAATGCAACGTTGCAGACTAAAGTCACAACTGAGGGTGCACCGACACTCTGTAGTCAGAAGCAGCGGCAGCTATAGGCTACATGATACTGTGTCATGGTACAGTTCATACGATTGTGGCTGCAGAGAGTCGGTGCAATGTCAGGATTATGGCTGTGACAAACTGTATGTGTGTTTTGTAGCTTAATAATGTGCGTGCAGTGGTAGTTTGGTTGGCTTAGCATGGTGTTGCAACTCCTATATTTCTAAACTCCTAAATATCAAATAAAAACATCTGTCATAAAGGAGTACATGTTCAAATAGTAAAAACAAAAGCACCAAAAGCAGCCTAATTCTGCACAATAACATATTTCCAGCCACAGCTTTAACAACACAGCCAAGCAGAGTTGTAGTTATACTCACTACCAGCTGCAGGACACTGTCAGATATCAACTTTTTACAATGAACAAGAAGTAATCAGTGCATCATGTCACGTATCACATAATTTCTCCTGTCTATAGCATCTGCAGAGGGTTCCTCTAAACTGGCGGAGTACTAGAGCTGGACTGGACCAACACAAAAGCTGTTTATATGATCAGAGGAAATGGAAAGTGTATTGCGAGGTAACGCAAAAGTAGTCCTCAAATAGTTTTGTTGCTGTGACATTGCAACTAGATAAATACCATTTTATTTCTAACAATAACTATGTATAGTCGTGCAAATATACACTTGGTTGATGTTGTCAGGAAGCGTACTGCAACATTCCTGACTGAATTTTAATAACAAATTTTAAACTGCTAGCTAAAAAAGATTCGTACATTCTGTCTCTCACAGTATGGATTTTCAAGTTATCACATTATCAAACCATGCACAGGTGTTACTTGCCTGCCATTACCATATATAATAGACAAAGTCATTCTCTTGTCTGTCCTGAATATTGCAGTGCACTGTAAACAGCTGTATTTCAATGTTGAGCCCTCTGCGGTCATGGGAGTGGCATTATTATCGATGTAATCCTCACCTTGTGACAAAGTTGTCAGCCAGCCGTAGCTCCACTGTATGCCTGTCAATGTTCGGAGGTACAAACAGCAAACCTTTCTTGGCACAGAGGGTTGCCAGGTTGGGCGACAGGATCTGACATACGCAGCGCTTCGGGCAGATCTGTGCCCGCACTGCCATGGCAACTGCCAGCATCACACACAGCAACATCCTCTCCATGGTTACCACCCCTACCTGGACACAACACCTGGAAAACAACAGACAGAAACAAAGAGAGAAATTCAGACGTTAATGAGATTTTGATGCTATTTTTTCCTCTTGACAGTCAACAGAAGAAAAGCAGGACATCATAACCTATTTATTAACATTTTAATACCTTCACAGTACCTGCAAAGCCTTCAGCAACATAAGGAAAGTGTGCTTCACACTAGGCAGCGTTTCCACCATCAAGTACAGCCTTCTCCTCCTACTCTGGACTAATAGACTACTCATCACTGCACTTCCTCCTGTATATACTCAACTGAATGCCACTCAGAAGGCAGAGAGCTGTATTCAAAGTTAAGTGTATATATTGAAGACATGACGATGAGTGCGGTATGGTGACGGATGAGCTTCTCGCTGCAGCGGCCCATTGTCGTTTTATTGTGGTAGTATTTGCACACGTCAATGAATAATCCCCTGAACATTTATTGTAGTTGTGTGAAACCGACTTTGATGAAGTTAAAAAATCTTCAACGAGATGAATCCACAGGCCTCGGAGTGGAATCACCACCAACTTTTAGGACGACGCTAATCAAAAACAAGGGGGGCGTTTATGGGAGTCATTTATTGCTCAGCTGCGTTGCTGGACGTGCACATGGCGCAAACACGCACACATATTCCGTCATCATTAGAAGGCAGCGGCGCTTGTAGCTAATTAGGAAGAGTTAGAGGGAGAGATGGAGCAGGCAGGGAGAGAGGAAATGCTCATTAATGACAACCTTGATTGGGGTTTGAAGGACATGGGAGAATAAGGATTAAAGAGATCACAGTGCAAACACACACACACGCACCCACTGACTTACACATCCATACACAAAGACAACGCAGACCTGGAGATGATGAAACAGAAGTTTGAGTTTTGCCTCAGTGAGCCTTTCTCACAGTTGATCATGTAGAAATTGCAGCAGACATGATGTACACATAACACACTACATACCTTGTGGAATTTTCATAAATCACATGGAAGTTGTAATCATCAATAAGTCATACAACAGACAGAACATGAGTTAGAAGCCGCTGATACGAGTCAACTGGAGTTACCAAGTTATGAATAATTGACTTCATTAAAGATCATTTTTAACTGCAGACTCGGAGGCTTGAAACTCACGAGGATTTATGAATGACTTTGAACTGGCGTTATTACCGAACAAGAAGGATGCTTCACAACTCCAGAACCCAAAACGTGCGCTGGGTAACATCATCTCGCCGATCGATAAACACATGAGGAAATTGTACTAAAAGTGTCACTGGACTGAGACTGTTTGTTCCAGATAATCCGAGCGTTCATGACAGTGATAATACAAACAGAGGAACAGCCAATCAATGAAGGAGAAATGAGTGAATTATGAAACCGCGCCTCGACACAAACAGCTATGAATAGATGATGGGGGCGGCGTTTACAAAGCAAACATATAAATTAAAGCTGGTTGTTCTACATGTTTAGTTGTTGTTTATTAATTGTATCCATAAAAAAACGCAGGTCTTTTGAAAAGGAAATGGTCTCATCAGCAAACCGTACATCGCCTCACCAACACACACAATTAAGGTGCGAAAATGAAAATGCATTTTGTTCAATTTGGCCTCCATCTGTGGTGTGAATTCATTTCTGTGGTGTTTCTGCTCTGCGCTTCCCAAATATGGACTGTCAGTCAAAGCGACGCCGCTCATGCTCACCTCACAGGTCTGTTATTTATTCCACAACGGAGCTCTGACAACTTACTCTTTTACAAATTGGAAGCGGACTACAAGACCTCACTATTAATCCTTGTTTTATGCGTCTTTGTGGCGATTTGTTTGTCATATAGTGCAGTGGTTCTCAAATTTTTTGAGCCACGACCTCCAAGATAACAGAAATTTGTGTTTGTGACCCCCCAAATTTGAATTTTTAATATGTCATGAATAATAACTTTGTTCTTCATGCATTAATGTGTTAAAAATTAATGTGTTCATTCCACAGATGAATCTCTTTATACTAACATGTTCATTTTCTTTTGAATGAATGCATGATTTGAATTTATTTCGAACAAATAAAAGGGAAAAAGAGTAGAAAACAAAAGAAAAAAATCGTAAAAAGAGCATTAAAAAAGAGCAAAAAAAGAAAAATAATATCACATAATCAAATCATAATATTCACAAGTTCAAAAAAGGAGTGGAAAGAAGTATATACTTTTAATTTTGAAAGCCTTAATACAAATTTATTTGATAACTGTAGCTGTTTTTTTTTTTTTTTTTACAATGATCTTTTTACAATGATCTGGCGACCCCTTGAAATTATCTTGGGACCCCCATGGGGGTCCCGATCCCCAGTTTGAGAACCAGTAATATAGTGCATAGGGAGGCTTAACTAAAACCTAGTCTTTTGCTATTTATGCATATGGTCATCCTAAAAAACACACCTCAGTTCTTTGGTGATAAACTAGTATATAGTGGTTTTCGACATGGGCATGTGACACAACAAGTAAGCACTGGTCCTCTGGTGGCACCAAGTCCAAACTCTATGATAAGAGCTGTTGTTTATAGAGGGGTCTTAGTTTGGAATATGCTCCCTACCAGTATTAGACAGATTAAAAATAGATATTCCTTTAAGAAGCCAATAAAACTCAAACTGATTAATCACATGTAAATTTTGCTGTTCTGGAAAATTTTCTTTGTTGTTGTTATTATATTTAATTTCTGTACTTGGTGCTGTGAATCTGTGGCGATTTTTAAATTTTACAAAACTTTTCTTGTCTGAATTGTGGGCTGATATTGAATTATGTTGTCTCACTGATATTCTGTGATTTTAAATGTGTGTATTTTTAATGTTGTTTTGTGAATGGACTCCAGGAAGACGAGCAACCAGCTTGTGGAAGCTAACAAAGAATAAAGAAAGAGAATATCATGTTTCTTTATGGTTGTATCCAGCTTTTTTGTGGCTGTTTTGCATCTCTTTGCGGTAACTTGATTGGCTTTCCAACTAAAAACCGTTAACATCCATTTCAAACTCAGGCTTTGGACCGGGTCCTCCTGATCCTCTGCGCCCTTCAGGTTACTTCAGGAATCAGAGCAGTTGAATGCGGTGATGGGTGTCACATTTCCAGCCAGCACAATAACCGCTGGAAGGACGATAACAGAGACGCGTCTGCAAATCATTTTTTTCTTTCAGTAATGAACACTTTTCCATTTGCTATGTGAACGGTGTTGCTTTACTGATATACTGCGGACTGATATAAATGCTGCATATTCATATAATATCAAATCACTACCAGGTCTTATTAAGAAGCCATTCACCTTTCACTAGAATAGCCGCGAGGTCCTTTCTCCATATACCTCTTTTATTTCTCTGTGTAATTACTGAGCTGAAATCTGCTGTGATGTCGGCGGTCGTACAATCCCTGATTTTCTTTCCCTTTCTGTTTGAGCGCAGAGAAGAAGAAGAAGAGCAGAAATACAGAGCGGCAGCTAAACAGAGCGCCGGATGACTCATGTGTACTGGTGATACAGAGAGAGAGAGAGAGAGTGGGGAGGGGAGCTCATGACCCTTGTGACACGAAAGCAGATATCAGCTCATTAATTACTCCGAGAAATGACTGTAATGAGAGCGAATGAGTGAGAGAGACAAAGAAATGCAAAGGAAACGAGGGAGAATTATCAGAGAGGGAGAGAGGGGGGAAAAAAGAGATCAGAGAGAAAGCTAATTAAAATGAGTGCTGAGGTGTGAAAGGGAAAAAAAAAAGAGAGGGGGAAGAGGGACGAATTTCATTTAGAGAGAGGAGACGAGGCGGGATAGACGACGTCGACCTGTCGCGCGTCTACGTGACGAGCAAACCATAAACTGTATGAGGAAGCACGTATAGAAGTGGGAATTTCACCAGAACCGAGCTTAATTTCACACAAACTCTTCCTCGAGTGTGGCTCGCGGTGACACGTGGGACCGCCGGGATCAAATGGGACGACGAATGAACCGAGGGGGATTACTTGGTAAGGAAGACAAATTAAGCTCTGTTTGTAGCGGTGTGTAAAATGCGATTCTGTTTCACACATGTGCGCAGCCCCGCTTTATCCACTTCTTTGAAAGCCGTCCACCCCTCGTCCTCCCCCTTCATCCCCCAGAAGGTCTCTCAGGAAGCCAGTTTCACCCCTGGCTTGCTCACTGATGAACAACTGGCTTCCCCCGGACAGCTCAGATAGATTCTCCACGCGCTCCATATGCTGAAACTGATCTCGGGCTGCATTCGAATCTCACGGGGATAACCAGCGGAACGACTTGGCAGTTAAGAGCTTGGAAGTATTCGCACATTCAAACTCTTTTGAAGCTGCCAGGAAGCCATGATGGATTTTTGTAGCTTTTTTTTTTCCCCCAGCTTTTTCACGCTTAATGCACATCCAATTAGTCGACGATACATTTCAGAAGATATGCTTTATGGGAAATCATTTAAGGCTATTCCCCTTATACATTTGTGTAAGGATTCCTCTGACTATTCAGAACTAACGGAGACTGTTGCTCCGTCATTAGCTCGGCCGCGGTTTAACGTTTAATCCCTTTAAAGGTTTCGTCTCTTAAACCCAATTGCTGTAATCAAAACTGCGTAACAGTCATCCGTCTCACACGCATTTCCCACAACTCAGGGTATAATAATGGCACGCGTATTCATTGTACTCAGTGTTTGGTTGCGTATCAAAGCCTTGAAAGCTGGTGGACGCTGTGGAAATTTTAATAAGCACGTCTGATTTGTTAACTAACACTACAGTGTGACCCAAACATCCGACTTCTCTGCTGGATCGACCAACTAACCATGTGGTGCTCACACTGAATGCAGGCAAAAAAAAAGTCCAGTTACAATTCTAACTAAGTTTTTTGTTGTAAGACTTAAAGAATTATGGTCAATTCGAGGCAGAGTCATTTTTCCTTTTTGTAGAACAACTCATAGAGCTGCAAGGTGGTGCGGTGGTTAGCACGACAGTCGCCGATCTGTGTCCCAGTTAAGACACTCTGCGTGGAGTTTG